TTTAATTGCAGTTACTATAGTTGTTTACTCATAAAACTTAACCAGTTTGGATAACTTTGTTGATTCTTTTTTAAAAATTGATGGAGCTATTTTTTGTTTCATCGACGTTATGAAAATTTTAGCTTTATCTAACTATTAATTTATGTTGGGTACAACAACGATAATCTAAGATAGCTTAGATTTGCAAAATTAAGAAAATGTATTAATATTTTATTAGATGAATTCTATAATTTAAGATTATAATAATAATCTATAGCAAATTGTATTAAATAATAATAGCTAAGAATAACTAAGTGAGCTATAGGATAATCCCTTTTTAATATAAATTTATCCCATTAAATTTTATTATTCTTCTGATGTTTCTTAATATTAGATCACAACTTATTATCAAAGTTTGCAATATACTATCATGCAATATTTATATGAAATAATGCTTTATGTTTACAATTATTCTGAGTAGCAAGAAAGTTTTATGTGGGGAAACATAGTTGAATTTTAATCAAGAATGTATAATTTACAATAGATTGTTGAAAGTTATGCATAAATCCAATTTAAAAATATGGATAAGGAGCAAATCGAAGTCATCACACTTGTTGGTATCCTAAGCTTTTTTATGATTTTTTCAGTAATACCTTTATATATATATATTTAGATAAAAAGAGAAAAGGTTATGAAACTATTTGGCACTTTCTCACCATAAATTCTTGAATTTTAAATAAAATTAATAGAACTCGCCATTTTTAAAATAGATAGAACTAAGATGATAAGTGAAGTTGATAAAAAAATATAGCCAAGTATTAAGTCTTCAAAGAGATAAAAAAGTATTTATATAAAAGACTTAATGGAATAAGCTTTAGAGTTAAAATTACAAAATAAAGCAGGATAGAATAGAAATAGCAATTTTAATTAATCAGATTAATTACCAAAATATATAATGAGATTGCAGAATCCAAGAAACAGATCAATAGCATCATTCAATAGCTTACCTAAATTTAACATGCTGATTATTTTGTTAGGTATTTTAGCAGTATTATTGTTGTGCATTTAACCTGCATTGAATATTTTATAGTTCAGTCCTTTTGAAGCCGAGTCAAATGCAACTTTGCAAGATAGAATGGCATTAATCGATGTTTTTACGTTGCTTTTTGAAAACTATGCTTCTCACATTGAAGTAATTTACTGTTTGAGCATAAATAAACTCCCTACAACAACTTATTATTATACCTATCTTCAAAATCTTACTTCACAAAATGTGCAAAAAGCTTCAAAATTATAAGATTTAACAATAAATCTAGGAAAACAAAGATATGATTAAAATCTTTTTGATAATTTTTATAAAAACATACTAAATTAAGATTTATGTCAAGTTAGATAAAACTTTCCATAATATTTCAACTCCAATTTGACTTAAACAACTTGTGAAAGACTATTTAATGGGATATTAAAAAGAGGATTAATTTTATCTATAAATAAAGTATTCCAAACTTTTGATGAGTTAATGTAAATGTATTCTATTAGTGACTTGAATTAATAAATTGATTATTATATTAATTTCCAAAGCCAATATTCTTTTATTGATTTTAAGTTTTTAATTTAGATAATATCTGAGTCTATAGACGCTATAAGATAGTATTAAAACGATTCTTTACAAAATTATAAAAATAGCTTATAAAGTACAATATCTTAACTCTTGATTGTCTAACTATTTATAATCACTATATTATTTTTTGTAGGTTGGTTAGCACTCTTTTACAATTTTTTTAATTCTTTGTAGAAAACATAGAATATATTCAAGGCTTTTCATATTAATATGCTATACGAAAACGATTATATAAATTCGTATTTCAGATAAATGTAAATAAATTA